TTGTTTGTGGGGTTGGGCGTTTGTGGGGCTTTTGGTTGTGGGTTGGGTGGTTGCGCGATGTTTGGTGGTGAGTTGGGTTGTTGTGGGTTGAATTGTTGTGGGTTGGGCTGTTGTGGGTTGGGCTGTTGTGGGTTGGGTTGTTGTGGCTTTTTGTGGGTCGGATTGTTGTGGGGTGTTTGGTTGTGGGTTGGTTGCGGTTGTTTGTGGGGTTGGGCGTTTGTGGGGCTTTTGGTTGTGGGTTGGGTGGTTGTGCAGTGTTTGGTGGTGAGTTGGGCTGTTGTGGGTTGGGTTGTTGCGGGTTGTTGTGGGTCGGGTTGTTGTGGGGTGTTTGGTTGTGGGCTGGTTGCTGTTGCAGTAGGTTGGGTTGTTGTTATGGGTTGTGTTGTTGTGGGGTGCGTGGTCATGAGTTGGGTTGTTGGGGGTTGGGTTGTTGTGAGTCGGGCTGCTGTGCATTGGGTGGTTGTGGGGTGTTTGATCACAAGTTGGGTGGTTGTGGGTCAGGTTGTTGTGGGTCGAGTTGTTGTGGGTCGAGTTGTTGTGGGTCAGGTTGTTGTGGGTCAGGCTGTGGGCCGAGCTGTGGGTCGAGTTGTTGTGGGTCAGGTTGTTGTGGGTCAGGCTGTAGGTTGGGCTGTTGTGGGTCGGGTTGTTGTGGGTCAGGCTGTGGTCAGGTTGTTGTAGGTCAGGTTGTTGTGGGTCTGATTGTGGGTCTGGTTGTGGGTTGGGTTGTTGTGTGTCAGGTTGTGGGTCTGGTTGTTGTGGGTCGAGTTGTTGTGGGTCACGTTGTTGTGAGTCAGGTTGTGGTTCAGGCTGTGGATTGAGTGGTTGTGGGTCGGGTTGTTGTGGGTCAGGTAGTGGGTCTGATTGTGGGTCAGGCTGTGAGTTGGATTGTTGTGGGTCAGGTTGTTGTGTGTCAGGCTGTGGGCTGGATTGTTGTGGGTCGGGTTGTTGTAGGTCGGGTTGTTGTGGGACAGGTTGTTGTGGGTCAGGTTGTTGTGGGTCAGGCTGTGGGCCAAGCTGTGGGTCAGGTTGTTGTGGGTTGGGTTGTTGTGGGTCAGGTTGTTGTGGGTCAGGTTGTTGTGAGTCAGGCTGTGGGCCAAGCTGTGGGTCAGATTGTTGTGGGTCGGGCTGTAGGTCGGGTTGTGGGTCAGGTTGTTGTGGGTCGGGTTGTGGGCCAAGCTGTGGTCGGATTGTTATGGGTTGGGTTGTGGGTCGGGTTGTGGGTCAGGTTGTTGTTGATCAGGTTGTTGTGGGTTGGGTTGCGGGTCAGGTTGTGGGTCGGGTTGTTGTGGGTCAGGTTGTTGTGGGTCAGGCTGTAGGTTGGGTTGTTGTGGGTCGGGTTGTTGTAGGTCAGGTTGTTGTGGGTCGGGTTGTTGTGGGTCGGGTTGTTGTGGGTCAGGCTGTGGATCGGGTGGTTGTGGGTTGGGTTGTTGTGGGTCTGATTGTGGGTTAGGTTGTTGTGGGCAGGGTTGTGGGTCTGATTGTGGGTGAGGCTGTGAGTCGGGTTGTTGTGGGTCGGGTTGTTGTGGGTCGGGTTGTTGTGGGTCGGGTTGTGGGTCTGATTGTGTGTCAGGCTGTGGGTTGCACTTGCTCCTGCACTCACATCCCCATGTCCTTGCACGTCCCTGTGCCATCGCACATCCTTGTGCAATTGCACGCCCAGTGCCCCTTGCACACGCGCAGCTGTGTGTCCCCGTGTCCTTGCACACCCCCATGCCCTTGCACATTTCCGTGTCCTTGCACACCCCCATGCCCTTGCACATCCCGGTGTCCTTGCACACCCCTGTGTCCTTGCACATCCCCGTGCTCTTGCACATCCCAGTGCCCTTGCACACCCCTGTGTCCTTGCACGTCCCCATATTCTTGCACGTCCCCGTGTCCTTGCACACCCCCGTGCCCTTACACACCCCCGTGCCCTTGCACTTCCCCATGCCCTTGCACAACCCCTGTGCCCTTGTACGTCCCCATGTCCTTGCACGTCCCCGTGCCTTTGCACGTCTCCATGCCCATACACACCCCTGTGCCCTTGCACATCCCTGTGTCCTTGCACACCCCTGTGTCATTGCACGTCCCCATGCCTTTACACCCCCCTGTGCCCTTGCACTTCCCCATGCCCTTGCACAACCCAGTGCCCTTACACACCCCTGTGCCCTTGCACATCCCCATGCCCTTGCACACCCCTGTGTCATTGCACGTCTCCATGCCCATACACACCCCTGTGCCCTTGCACGCGCCCTTGCACGCCCGCAGGCTGTGGCTGTCCCCTCCCATCTCCGCATCACCGTGACAACCGTTGCCATGGTGACAGCATTTCCCTCCCCCCCCCCTCCCGGGCTGTAGAGCGCCGTTGCCATGGCGACGCAATCACCGTGACAACGGTTACCATGGAGACGGACGGTCCGCCTGTCGTCCTGGCAACGTGGGTGGGGGGGTGGGGGGGGAAGGACCTTCAGGGGATGGGGGTGGAGATGTGGGGCGCTATGGGGCGCTATGGGGCGCTGTGAGGCGCTATGGGGTGCTATGGGGCACTGTGAGGTGCTATGGGGTGCTGTGGGGCGCTGTGTGGTGCTATGGGGCACTATTGGGTGCTGTGAGGTGCTATGGGGCGCTATGGGGCGCTGTGTGGTACAATGGGGCGCTATGAGGTGCTATGGGGCACTACGTGGTGCTATGAGGTGCTGTGGGGTGCTGTGGGGCAGTATGGGGCACTGTGAGGTGCTATGGGGCGCTATGGGGTGCTATGGGGCGCTGTGTGGTGCTATGGGGCACTATGGGGTGCTATGAGGTGCTATGGGGTGCTATGGGGCACTATTGGGTGCTGTGAGGTGCTATGGGGCGCTATGGGGCGCTATGAAGTGCTATGGGGTGCTATGGGGCACTATTGGGTGCTATGCGGTGCTATGGGGCACTATGAAGTGCTATGGGGTGCTGTGGGGCACTATGGGGTGCTATGGGGTGCTATGAGGTGCTATGGGGAGCTGTGGGGCACTATGAGGTGCTATGGGGCACTATGGGGTGCTATGGGGCAGTATGGGGCACTGTGAGGTGCTATGGGGCACTATGAAGTGCTATGAGGTGCTATGGGGCACTATGAGGTGCTATGAGGTGCTATGGGGCACTATGGGGTGCTATGGGGTGCTGTATGAGGTGCTATTGGGCACTATGAGGCACTATGGGGCACTATGAGGTGCTATGGGGCACTATGAGGCACTATGAGGTGCTGTGGGGTGCTATGGGGTGCTATGAGGTGCTATGGGGCACAATGGGGTGCTATGGGGTGCTATGAGGTGCTATGGGGCACTGTGAGGTGCTATGGGGCACTATGAGGTGCTATGGGGTGCTATGGGGTGCTATGGGGTGCTATGGGGCACTGTGAGGTGCTATGGGGTGCTATGGGGCGCTGTGAGGTGCTATGGGGTGCTATGGGGCACTATGAGGTACTATGGGGCGCTATGGGGTGCTATGGGGCGCTGTGAGGTGCTATGGGGTGCTATGGGGCACTATGAGGTGCTATGGGGTGCTATGGGGTGCTGTGGGGCGCTGTGTGGTGCTATGGGGCACTATGGGGTGCTGTGGGGCAGTATGGGGCACTGTGAGGTGCTATGGGGCACTATGAAGTGCTGTGGGGTGCTGTGGGCACTATGAAGTGCTATGGGGTGCTGTGGGCACTATGGGGCACTATGGGGTGCTATAGGGTGCTGTGTGGTGCTATGGGTTGCTATGAGGTGCTATGGGGCACTATGGGGCACTATGAGGTGCTGTAGGGTGCTATGGGGCGCTATGGGGCACTATGAGGTGCTATGGGGTGCTATGGGGCGCTATGGGGTGCTATGAGGTGCTATGGGGTGCTATGGGGAACTGTGGGGCACTATGAGGTGCTATGGGGTGCTGTGGGGCGCTGTGTGGTGCTATGGGGCACTATGGGGCAATATGGGGCACTATGGGCTACGTGTGGGGCACTATGGGGCACTATAGAGCACTATGGGGCACTATGGGCTACATGTGGGGCACTATAGAGCACTATGGGGCACTATGGAGCACTATGGGCAGCGCTGTGGGGCACTATGGGGCACTATTGTAGTGCTACTGTGCACTATGGAGCACTATGGAGCACTATGGGCTGCGTGTGGGGCACTATGGGGCACTATGGAGCACTATGGAGCACTATGGGGCACTATGGGGCACTATAGAGCTCTATGGGCTGCGTGTGGGGCA